TGACGTAACATCTCAGAAAACGTCATAGAAAATAGAGAGAACTTAAAGGGCTGAAAAATCCAACCCAAACAGAATATAAAGATGTCTTTGCAGCACCAGGAGAGACTAAATTCAACTCTTCTTCACTCCTTGAGACTCAGCYYAAGTCCYCAACAAAATTTATTTAACTGCTAAAAAAAGATTTTGAATGAAATGTCCCCTTTAAAGATCGGTGATCAGCCACAAAACTGCAATCGGTGCACCCCTACTTCTAAAMTTACAATTAAAATTCTACAGTAATAAAAAAGAAAATCTATTGCAGACGCAACAGGTTGGTTCAGGAGGAAAACCCAGACATCTCTTTGCTGCTCTTCCTGAGGAATCCCAATGTGTTCCCAGGCCAGAGAGTCGTTTTAGAGTGTTGAAGGACCATGTAAGCTTAAGTTTTCTTTTCAGTGTTCTTCTAATCTGCTCACTGGAAACATGAGAGGTCAGAAGTCAAAGCCACAAAATAATATCAAGTTGTTATAAAGAGTTTTAATAATTTATGGAGCCGATTCCTGCAGTGAAAATTAATGTACGATCTCCCCGGCCCATCTATGTATATGTGTGTGTGCGTGCATACGTGTGTGTGTGCCATCTCATCGAAACGAGGATTAAGTCCAAAAGTGTTAAATGGGGAAATAGACAAATATAGTGTTTTGACTAAAATGTTAAGAAAAATTGCATTTTGTCAAAATATAATGAATAAAAGCCTTATCAATGTATCATTTGAATGAACTGTCTGAAATTTAAACATAAAACAAAATTTTGAAGCACTTTTTTGAGCAGTAGCAACAAAAATACCTGATTTTGAGGAAAAACGCCTTAAAAGTTTGAGATTTTCCCAGTGAGTTAGCAAAGTTTTGCTTCTTTTCAGCTGGGAAATCTCAATATTCAAATATAATTTGAGGTTTCCTCTTTATAAGGGCATCAAATATTCCTCATTAAAATGACATAAAATTAGGATTCAGACCAAATATTTATGTATTATTGTAACCAACAAGACAAATTAAGTCATATATATGGATTCAATTAAGATATCAGAGTGATCCAGGTATCAAAATGTAGCTTTTAAAGCCAAGAATCTGAAAATGTAATTAGGTCATATATATATATATATA